GCTGGGAATTGAACTCAGGACCTCTGGAAGAGCAGTCAGTGCTCTTAACCTCTGAGCCATCTCTCCAGCCCAGATCTATTTATTTATTATGTCTACAGTGTTCTGCCTGCATGTGTGCTCTACAGGACAGAAGAGGGCACCAGATCTCATTACAGATGGTTGTGAGTCACCACGTGGTTGCTGGGAATTGAACTCAGGACCTCTGTAAGAGCAGCCAGTGCTCTTAACCACTGAGCCATCTCTCCAGCCCCTTCAGTTAGCCATATTAAAGGTAGGGCAGTTCGTACCTTTGAAAGAGCAGCAACTGTTGTGTCCTGCTTATGTACAACCTGAACAGTCTGTGACTGTTCTTGATAATATCTTTTAATATTTTTCTCAGAAGCAATCTTTAGTGTCTGATTTGTGTCTGCGATAGAAGGAATGTTGATCTTTGTTTTCCATTGCTGTAATAAATCATGTCCCCATAAACTCATTGTTATGTCAGTCACATATGGCTTTAATTTTCCTACTTGTCCCCATAAACTCAACCCATCATGTACTTTGTTTTATCTGAAATAAAGTTCCAATCCCTCTAAGCTGAATATTTACCTCCCGAAGAGGCCACCTAGTGGCCAAGATTTGTGTGAAATTATTGTTATATCTGCTCCGATGTTGACCAAACCTTTGATTTCAATGCCATTTATTTTTACATTTTGTCTCTGATCATTTGTAGCGGTTTGCCAAAATATTTGTTTTCTGGTCTCTCCTGAATTTTTTGTTTAACTACTGAAGCTGTTCTGTCCTTGATTATATCCAGAGCAGTGTTGTTTTTAATAACAGGCATTAAGTCTTTTAATTACTGTGTATGAGTTTCTCTGATGCTGACAGGGAATGATAGAATCAAATTTGCTATGGGGCCTGTGGGAGGCCCCTTGGGGCATTTCATGATGGCAAAGGATTGCCTTGCTTGTCCCTTGTTGATCTGCATTCATTAGTTCAATGCTGGCTTTTACCTCACATTCTGCATGCTCCAGCAAGCTGGCGTCTTCTTTTTGGATTCTCTATTTAAAAAAAAAAAAAACATTGTTTCTAGGAATACCTTGCCTGAAATCCATTTTCTTTTCTTTTCTTCCTTTCTTTTTTCTTTTCTTTTTTTTTCTTTTTTTTTTTTTTTTCGAGACAGGGTTTCTCTGTGTAGTTTTAGAGCCTGTCCTGGAATTTACTCGGTAGACCAGGCTGGCCTCAACCTCACAAAGAACTACCTACCTGCCTCTGCCTCCTGAGTGCTGGGATCAAAGTTGTGTGCCACCACCATCCTGCTTTATTTGTTACGCTTAAAGATTTATTTTGACTGGACACACACTTAGAAGCTCTCAGCAAGGACAGTCTATGTCTCTTGGTAATCTGTTCCTGGTGTTTAAAAATTAAAATACTTGGTGGCCTGGAAAGATGGCTCAGTGGTTAATATCACTGACTGTTCTTCCAGAGGACCTGGGTTCAATTCCCAAAATGGCAGCTCACAATTGTCTGTAATTCCAGGATCCAACACCCTGACACAGGCATACATGAAGGCAAAACATCAATGCATATAAAATTTAAAACATTTTAAAAATTAAAATACTTGACATTCATTTACATTGTTGTCATTCTTTCCCACTAGAATAAAGCTCTGAAGGTATAGACAGTTGTCTTTTTTTGTTGCTGCTGAATCTCTAATGCCTAGAATAGTCCTTGGCACATGGCAAGCCCTCAAGAATTTTGTTGAATGAATAGATAATATTTTACACCTAGGTGTTTATTTCATTCTTTTTAATAGTTACAATTTCTATTGAATATGCTATCCTAAAATTTATTTAAACAATCCTATTCTTTTTTCCTGTTTTTTTAATTTAAAAAAATTTTATTTATTTTACATACCAATCACAGATCCCCCTCTTTCCTCCTCCCTCCCCTCCAGCCTCCCCACCTCCCATTCTTTTTAATTTTTTTTTTTAAAGAAAAAGGAAGGAGGGTTGCTTCAGTGACTAAGAGGGCATACTGGTTTTCCAAAGCATCTGAGTTCAGATTCCCAAATCCGGGCAGCTCTCAATGCCTGTAACCCCTGCTCCAGGGGATCCAACACCCTCCTGCGGCCTCCCCAGGAACCTGCACTCATCTGTATCTCCTCACTATTGGTTTTATTTGGTTTTTGTTTTGGGTTTTTGAGACAGATTTCTCTGTGTAGTCTTGGCTGTTCAGGAACTCACTCTGTAGACCCTCGAACTCATAGAGATCCACCTGCCTCTGCTTCCCGAGTGCTGGGGTTAAAGGCATATGATACACTATGTGCCCAGCCCACACTACTATTTTGAAATACCACTTTTGTCACACACTAAATCTGTCTGTATCCTTAGTGTATTTTTGAATTCTGTTCTGGTTAATTGACCCATCTATTCCCGAACCGACACAAAAATGAGTGTGAGTATATCTGTCTCTGTAGTAGGTGGGAGGGCCTTATGGGCTCTACTACTGAGTCACATCTCAGTTCCCCCCCCCAAATGATTTAGCTTTATAATTTTATAAAAACTTCCCCAAATCCGAAAGTGCTGAATATTCCCTAATAATTGGATTAAAAAAATAAAAAAGCTTGTACGATCTCCAAAACAGGATGCCCAACCCCTTACCACTATCACCTTTTGATTTACATTTTATTACATATATGTAAAACAAAATTTACCATCGTGCGAAACGCACTCCCTCAGAGGGGTTTAAAGGACAACTTTGAATCTCCCAAAAGAAACATTAAAGACTGACACCGAAGGAATAATAGAAGTAGCTCCACTTGGAAGAAACACATCTAAATCCCTATGACTCTAAATCAGAACAGAGGTGGGCGGCTTCTGCACAGCGGCCGGCGCATGCTGCGCTTCCCCTCTCAGCCCCTGGATGGCGCCCCAAGCCGGGTGAGCAGGGATCTGGACCAGGGCTCCTTGCGTCAGCAGCCGTCACGACGTCACGTCTGGTCCCGGGCGGAAGTCTTCAGCTAGCCGACCGGGAAGTAGCTGAAGACCGGGCGATGGGAACTCTGGAGGTCTCGCTCTGGGGCGGACCCGAGGCTACCGTGCCCCCGCGGTAGAGCGAGCCTGGGCGGCGGGCTCTGGGGTCCTGAGGTGAAGAGCGTCGGGGCCTGAAATGAGACCTTAGGAAGAAGCCCAGGAACCCTGACAGCCACTTTGATGGCCCCTTCCCCCGCCCGGGAGTCCCCGCTGCCTTAGCCCGGCTCTGCCCCGGAAGCAGGTCCTTTGGTGTCATACCGATCCCAGAGGGAAAGGCGCGGACCGGGGTTTTCTTCTTCACCTCCACCACCGGGGCAGAGGGTGGCCTCGGGTCCGAGGTTCAAGGGCGCGATTCTTAACATCGCCTTCTTCTCTCCGCTGCCGCAGGCATGGAGGGGTCTAAGGCGTCCAGCAGCACCATGCAGGTGAGCTTCGTGTGCCAGCGCTGCAGCCAGCCTCTGAAACTGGACACGAGCTTCAAGATCCTGGACCGAGTCACCATCCAGGAACTTACAGGTCAGCAGGACCCGTGGGAAGAGGGTGGTCAAGAAGGTGGGAAATGGGCAACTTTAGGGAGCTCGGTCTTGTGGTGGCAGTCTCTGGTTTTCCGTTTCCTCAGCAGGGATCTAAGCGTTCTGACATTGTCTCCAGAGCAAAGGAATATCCACATATAACAAACTTACAGTGTACCGAGCGCATTCTAGTTATTATTTCCTTTAGTCCCTGAAGCAGTCCGCGTGGGAACCAGGCTTGGTGACTCATATCCATAATTGAAGCAAGAGCTACCTTAAGTTCCAGGTCCTGTTTCCAAAAACAAAAAGAATAGAGAAGTGCCATGGTTGCATCCTTTTACAGGTGAAGAATTGAGGTTTAGAGAGGTCATGTGAGTTAGACTTTCCTGAGGTCCACCCAAGTGTGGGAGTCTCGAAGTCTGAAGAAGTGAGAGGTCAATAAGAGTCTAAACAAGCTCATGGACCCGGCATTAGGCTTTGTTGGAGCTCTCTATACCTTGGTTTATTTTTCTTCATGATTATTATTATTTATGAGTGTTCTGCTAACATGTATACCTCTCCACCACATGAACACCTGATGCCTGAAGAGGCCGGAAGAGGGTGTTTGATCCCCTGAACTGGAGCTATGGGTGGTTGTGAGCCACCATGTGGGTGCTGGGAATCGAACGCAGGTCCTCTGCAAGAGCAACAAGTGCTCTAAACCGCTAAATGATCTCTCCAGCCCCTATTTTCTTCTTTTTATTTTTATTTTTATACAGAGTCTCACTCTAGCTATTGCTGGCCTCAAGCTCATAGAAATTGTCCTGCCTCTGTCTCCTTAGTTCTGGGATTAAATGAATGCACCACCGCACCAGGCTTATTATTCACAGTTTTGTTTTGTTTCGTTTCGAGACAGGGTTTCTCTGTGTAGTTTTGGTGTCTGTCCTGGATCTCGCTCTGTAGACCAGGCTGACCTCGAACTCACAGAGAACTCCCGGGTGCTGGGATCAAAGGCATGTACCACTGCCGCCTGGCCTATTTTTCACATTTTTAAAGGTAAATTGCTGTATATTGAAAGTATAAAAAAGGTAAAGACACGGCCCATGCTTCATCCCCCAAGTGTTGGAGTAAAAGCGTGTGTTGTTACCATGCCCGGTTTTATATATTTTTAACTTTTAGATACATTTTTAAAATCTGATACATTTGTGGATACCATTTGATGTTTGAATACACATATAATATTCAAATCAGGGTTAGCACATTTGTCTCTTCCAGCATTGACTGTTTCCTTGAGGTAAAAACATTCCCAATCTTCCCTTTTGGCTTTTCGGGGCTGTGCAGTGACCATTGCTACCCATGGTCACCACTGTACAATAGAACGCCAGAACTTATTTCTCCTACCTAACTGGCCTGTTGGCCTTTACCCGTCTCTCCCACACCTGCAGCCCCTAGGAACCACCATTTTGCTCTCAGCATCAATGAGATGAACCTCATAGGAATGAGATCATTCAGTGCCTGCTTTTCTTTGCCTGGATAGTTTCATTTAATGTATGTCTTAAATGTCAGGAGTTCGTGCTTTAAAAAAAATAGCTGAATAGATTTCCATTGTGTGTATATTAGCTATGTGTTTGTTGTTGCTGATCTGTCTTTGAGATAGAGTCCCATTATATAACCCAGGCTGGCTTTAAACACATGATTGACTTTTCTCCACCTCCAAAGCTCTAGGATTATAGCCATGCGTCACTGTACCTGGCTCTCCTCTGTCCTCTCCCAATGTCAGGGTTTGAGACCAGGGTCTAGCTCATGCTAGACAAGTGTTCTACCGCTTAACCACACCCCCAACTCTACATTCTGGATACATGGATACAGACAGGTTGCAGCTTCCCAGGATTTCTTTCATTCCTTCCCGGTTATGCTAACCTTTGTGATGGAAAAGGCCGGGGGATGGTTTTGTGGCTAAGAGAGCTTGCTGCTCTTCCAGAGGACCTGAGTTCAGTTCCCATCAGGTCACTCACAACTGCTTATAACTCCATTTCCAGGTGACCCGGCACCTTCTTCCTGTCCACAGTCACTACACTAACGTGCACAACCTCATACTCGCACGTACACACATACACATAATTTTTAAAAGGTTTTAAATATATAATGAGTTCCTACATGCCCATCACCTAGTTTCAACAATTACTGACACATGATCAATCCTCTCTACCCTGAAATACCTTGAGGTAACTGGCTAGGACATAAAGACTGTAACTCTTTCGGTATGACTCTTAATGTCATGATACCCATGTGCTTTTAGAATTTTAACATTCTCATAATAAGAAGAGGGGAAGAAAACTGAGCTTTCTTTATGTAGATTAAAAAAAAAAAAAAAAAAGAGGCCATAGTGGCACAAATCTTTAATCCCATCATTCAGGATTCAGAGGCAAGTGTATCTCTGTGAGTTCAATACCAGTCTGGTCTGTCTACATAGTTCCAACCTTGTGGGTGCTGGGAATTAAACCCAGGTCCTCTGCAAGAGCAGTAAGTGCTCTAAACTACTAAATGATTTATCCGGCCCCTATCTTCTTCTTTTTAAAAAGCATTTTATTTTTATTTTTAGACAGTCTTACTCTGTAGCCATTGGCTGGCGTCAAACTCATAGATTATCTTGCCTCTGCCTCCTGAGTACACAGTGAGACCCTGTCTAGAGAGAGGGAGAGACAATGGTAGGGTTGGGGCTGGTGATGTGGCCATTTTGGGCTCTTTCCCATGCTTTGGGAAGCTCTCCTGCTTTGATAAGACTGTTCTGACCCAGGATTTTCCTTGTCCTTAGCTCCATTACTTACCACAGCCCAGGCGAAGCCAGGAGAGACCCAGGAGGAAGAGGCTCACTCAGGAGAGGTAAAAGAAGGACCCTCTCCCCCTTCCCCTCCCGATGTGCTCAGTGGGAGGCCGACATGAGAACATGGGGTACAGACTGGATTGCTGCAGAGCATTTGGTGCCCCGACTTCGGCGATTAGTAATAAAGACTGGTTAATAAGAGATATTCCAGCCGGGCGGTGATGGCACACGCCTTTAATCCCAGCACTCGGGAGCAGAGGCAGGCGGATCTCTGTGAGTTCGAGGCCAGCCTGGTCTCCAAAGTGAGTTCCAGGAAAGGCGCAAAGCTACACAAAGAAACCCTGTCTCGAAAA